ATCCAGGCAAAAAGCATAATCTTCTGTATCTAGTTTTCTTTCCTGATTAGATTATGTCTACCTACTAATATATTATATACAATATATAATATATTTTTCACTGAAAAAAGTACGGAGGGTATCGAGTTGCTTATTATAATATCATCCGATCCTTACATATGAATGTATTGTATTGATATGTATAATATAATAACCTACATTACATTAAACAATATAAAATGTGATTATAACGTTATGTATCTCTTCTAAATATGGAGTGATCAAAATAAAAAATAAAGTATAAATGACTTTAAAAACTTTATATAACAAATTTAATAACAATAAGATAAAATTATAAATGTAAAAAAAAATACAAAAATTTATTGTACAAGGGATTCAAACTTGCATATTAACACTCTTCATGCAACACTTTAACTAATCATGTCACACAATGAACACAAGTGATTTTTCTGTGTAGGTATTAATAATTCTGGAAGAACTTTAATTGTAACTTTCTGGAGAATGCCTGAATAGTGCAGCTTTGGAAGAGTTTAAATATGAGTAAATACTACAAGTCCACAAAATTTCATTGAAATCAGTGATGGCAACCTCCTGGGTTCCCATTGTTAGTATCCAATTTTTAATAATAGAAGATTTATAGCTTGATTTCATTAAGGTGATAGTTTGGTTGAATATCTATATATTGAGCTTTGGGATGTTTAATATAACTAATGATCAAAACAGGGCTAAATTTTTGCACTGTGGTCCAGGGACAACACTTCTACTTGCCCTTTGTGTCTACCCGACATAAGAAAACAGTATTTAAATATTTAATTACTTACTTAATTCTTAAAATATAGTTTGAAGTTTTTTGTAAAATTTATTGTTTCAGGTAATGGCAACAGATTCAGACAGTATTCCAAATTCCCAACTTACCTATGCTATTGTAGCAGGAGATCGACAGAATCAATTTGAAATAGACCATTTGAAAGGCTACATAAGTGTTTCATCTAGTTTAGATAGAGAAAAGGTAAGTTCTATTCTTCTATTTTAATTTCTAGTTCATTTAGATTATATTAATATACAGTATTTAATGAAAGGTCAAATAATCTTGTAAATAAAAGCAAAATTTTGTTTGCTTGTTTGGGGCACATATGTACCTGTGTGTGGCTTTTGTACACATGGTTGTATTTTGATTTTCAATGTCGTTGAATTTTTTTCTCTTAATTTTTTTTTTGAAAATTTATCTGTTTTCTTCTTTAAATACAGGTAGCCCTTGGTTTACGCTGACTGAACTTACGCCGATTCACAATAACAACCCTGTGCAATTTGCCATTTCACAGTGTAATTCCCTGATTTTCCCTATGCCAGACTGATTTTCACTTCAGTATTGACGTATTTACTGAACCATGACATTGTACATTCGTTAAAACAAAGATCTTTATTGAATATACAGTTGTCCCTCTATAGTCCGACGTTTTTTAATCCGACATGCTCAGTAGTCCGACGCACCTCCCGTCAAGGTACCCGTCCCCGTTACGTGTCTGCTTGCACAGAAGCATGTTGTGATGTGAATCTCCCCATCCAATT